AATGTTATATCGTATATAACTGAAGTGGGATGAATGCCGGGAAAAACTATGCAGAGACTTGTCACAGCGTACTGTCGTGAACGACTTCTTTATTACGACTACTTTACGCGGAGGGATACACCGAAAAATCTCCTCTTCCGCCCGCTTTTCCTAGCGCCCTCTATGATAGTTTACACGCCTAGCGCGATCAGAGGCGCCTGGCGTCTCTATTGATCTGAGATCATGAATCACACCCGGTCGGTATCGATCGGCCGGGACATCCTCCCTCCTTGGAGAAAATAAAAGAACCAAAACTTCCCGTAGAAGCTGTTACAAAGTAGTGAGTATTGCGTTAACCAGACAGAACAACTTAAAACATACATTAAAATTCGATACGCAACTAAAAAATATAGCTTACATCTAATACTTGAGTCGGTCCGGCTTTTTGACTACTCGGCCGCTTCTGGTGGTGACGACTTCGGAATCATCACCTTTTGACTTACAAACTAATGGTGTATCGTTACTCTTAAAATCATCTAATTTCGGATTTGACTCAACCTTATCTTTTCGCTTCTCCGAATTCGCTCTTTCGCACAACTCTATGGCAGCATCTGTTTCTTGCGGAATCTCTAATGGGTAGACCCTTTGTATAGGTCTTTTAAACACGCCATTTTTGGTTTTTAAAATAAACACTCTCGCCTGCCCATCTCTACCTGTGATCACGTCTATCACTCGTGCAAGAGGCCAATCCACGCGTCTATGTGAATCATCACCGATCAGGACGACATCACCGATATTTATTTTTCGAGTTTCTTTCTTGTCGTTTGTTAATAGTAGTTGACCTAGATACTCGGTACGAAATCTTTTCCGGAGATCATTAAAAACCTTTTGCCTGTGTTTGAATTTCTTGTTTAATCTCGATTGATAAAGCATATCGCAATCTGGAACACCATATGTTCGAATTTCTTGAAGGAACATTGACGGTGATAATGGTGTAAGATCATCTGGATCTCCCGAGATATATGTAAGAGGGCGACTGTTGATTATCGCTTCAGCGTCACATAAGATGGTGTTCAAGGTCTCGTAAGGAAGGCTCGCTTTGCTCAAGATCTTTCGTAATAACGCCTTCAAAATTCCTATCAGTCTTTCCCACCAACCCCCCCACCAGGGTGCTGATGGTGGGTTAAAATACCATTCGATTTGCGTTATCGAACTGTGTTTGCTAATTTTCTCCCAATCTAATTTATTCAACGCGTTAGCGGCGCCAGCAAAATTTGTCCCATTGTCACTGTATATGATACTTGGACGCCTGCGTCTTGCTATAAATCTACGTATGGTAAACACTGTAAGAAACCCTGTGTAGATAATATCGAAACTAATTCGAAATGTACTGCTCTGTACACTGCACACGTGAAAATACAGATCGACGCCTTCCCTCTCCCTCCCCCTCGCAAAATTAAAGGGCCTGCAAAATCTGTA